AAATAAACAAACAAACAAAAACAATAAGCATCGGTTGTCTATTTGAAATGAGTGATTAAAATAAATTTGTTTATTTATAAGTTATTTAATCAAGGAAATGTAACTTTATTTTAATCACCTATAAAATATATTCTTTTGGCTAATGAATGTACTCATTAAAAACCGGTTCTCAAAAGTACCTTTCTCAGTGTTTCACCAAATAGCTTCTTTTTTCAAGACACCTCCGGTATTCTCTGTAACAAAAACCTTTTCATAAAATCAGGATCAAGATATACACATAGATAAACTGAATACAAAAGTTCGTTATGAATTCGGAAACGTTTCATATTTTATTTTACAACAAATGCTTTTGTATTCCGTTTTTCACGTTATTTAAAATTTACCAGACAAATCGAACTATCGAATGGTTTTATTTGAATTAATGAACCACAATAAAAATGTACACAGCATTAAAAAACTATAAGTATTCCTTAACAGTATTTCATCTCATCACTATAAACGTTGAGTTGATTAAAATTATAGAGTGAATACCCACGCTTATTTTTTTTTTAAATTAGTATCTAATGGAGAGGCTTTTTTATGTATTCTATATATAGAATCAAAATCTTCGACAGCCCCAATTTTTTATTTTTACCTCTAAACCGAGTCTCAAATCTTGTCCTGTATAAAAGGGTGCGTTAAGGCATTATTGAGGCTGATCCTTTTTACGGGATCGACGGCCAAAGCCTTATCCAGGAAGTCTTTGAGCTGGGACACCTTGCGTAGCTGATCAGTTGGTAAAGCTTGACCGGCAACTAATTCTGATTGTAAATCTCTTGTTGCTTTCACCACCGACATCACTACAACTTTTTCCTAAATTCAAACAAAATTCTTATTAAAGTAATAATAATAATAGTAATAAAACTTTAATTTTAGTAGCAGGTGATTCGTTTTGTATACTTAATTAGTCGTTGTTGCTTCACAGAAGAATAAAACAATGCAACTGTAGAAACTAAACGAAATACAATAAACCTTTAAAGGAAAATTTGACATTTACATTTATTCTGACTTCTGATTTACAAAAATATTTGATTTTCAATTTACTCATAAGAAGCATTACAACGAAAAATGTTTCTTGATTTAAACAACAAAAAGATCTTTTTATCGTGAATATGCTTTTTGATAGTAATTACATAAAGTTTTACTTGGAAAGACAGTTTATTTCCTGTTAAAGAAATATTTTTATTACTTCTCAAATTTGTGAGACGTAAAACATTACACGAAAGCAAAAAGATTTTAATTGAAATGGAAATAAATAAAAGAACAAAAAAGATACAATAGTGCTTTTTTTCTAGGATAAACTAAGTAACAAATTATTTAAAAAGGGACATCATAATAAAAATAAATATCGTTTACTTACCCGCTCAGTCACTTTATCAATTTCATGATACAAAAAGTTACAATTTGCATCAAAATGTTGCTCACGAAAGGCTCCTTTTCGGATCACTTTGTTTGGAAATTTCCCTTTTAAGTCCATGAAAAATTTTAGCATTTGATTGTTTGATTTCCCAGAGAAAAGAATACGACCAGTGTATAACTCGTAAACGGTACATGCGGCAGACCACATATCTATAGCGTAGTCGTACGCTATACCCAAAATGATCTCAGGAGCTCGGTAAAATCTTGACACAAGGTAGGGCGTTATTTCGTTGTCGGTTATGTATGAGGCCGAACCGAAATCGCATAATTTTAGTACTAACTTGCTCTCATTTACCAAAATATTGTCCGGTTTGATATCTTAAAACAAATTATATGCAATAAATATTAAAAAAATATCACAATTAATGTGGTAAAAATGTAACGTACCATCGATATACACCACGCCTAAAAATAAGAAAAACAGAAAAATAAACTTACCAGCATGTAAGACACCGGTTTTTTTAAGTAGTTTTAACGCTAGTAGTAGCTGTTGTGTATAACTTCTGACAGCTTTTATATGCAAACCAACGTTTTTACCGTATTTTTTTAACACTTCTCTAAGATTCATAGACAAGGGTTCAAACACTAAACACAGATGTTGCTTGTGGAAAAAATGTCTAAATAATCTTAGACAATGGAACCTGTCTTCAGCATCTGCATCATTTAGTTTTTTTAACACTTCCAGTTCTTTAAGACCAGTCTTATGCCTGCAACAATTTTTTATCTAATCTATATCTATACATCTATATATACATATAAATAAAATTGAACTATCTATCAGTAATATCGAAGTAAGCGCTCTTTTTAAAATCATAGGGTGACTCGTACGCTATTAAAACACAAACGATCTTTAAACATTTTTAGTTTACTGTCTGTATGGGCTAATTTTTTGGTTTGCTTGTTTGTTTATTTGTACGGAATAATCATTGAAACGGCTGAATCGATTTCGATGGCTTTTTTTTACGTGGAAAAATATTATTAAATGCTTAATAAAATTGATTTGAAGATATTTTGCTACTAGATGCCCATCGGGAACAATTTTTGATCACATAATGACACTTACATGATTTCGTTATTTCTAATTATTTTTACAGCTACATCCTGGCTGCCTCTTGCTTGATCTCTGGCTCTAACGACACTACTGAAAACACCCTGTCCAGTATGACCATAAACAGTGTATCTATTGTCCAAATTTTCCCCTATTCGTACCCTGTAATAACCTTCTGTATCATCCCAGTTATCAGTCAGAGAGGGGTTATCATAAGCACTGCCCTTGTGTGTTATATTACTTGGGGACTGAAACAGGTAAATGTTAAAGATAAAAATGTATATGAGTAGAATCAAAACCAATGAGGCGAAACGATGGTGTTGGTTTTGCATTGGAATAAAAAACTTTTCAAGCCTCATTGGCTCTGATTTTCGACTCACATCTAAACTAAGCGAATATATATATATATNATATATTTTTATTTTTTTCAGGTTGTATGTATGCAAATACCAAGATTATAATATTCATTACTTATACATGTGCAAACCTGATATGTAATATATGAGTTTAATATATATAAAAAAGTTATTTCTTGGAAAAGCGTGAGTTTTAATGAAATACTTAAAAAAAAACACACACACGTTATAGAGAGAATATACTATTATAGGAATGTACTATTGTAATTAAAATAAATATAAAAAACTTACATTGTATTTGCCCTTAAACATGTCCTTGTCATCGGCAAAAATATCCCACTGTTCTTTTTTGAATATGTTCTCTTTATTTTCTTGTTTCTTTTCATTTTGAACTTCTGTTTTGTTTTGCATATTGTTTTTCATGTTTGGCAAAAGCGGAGGAGTCAAGGATGGTTCAATTTCAGTATTTTCTTTTATAGATTCTTCTTCAACTTTGTGGGAAATTATTTTTTCTTCTTGTCGTTTCTCAGATTCTACAGGTACGATTTGAACATCATTTTGGTCACTTTCATTATCCGATTTGGCTTTCAATCTCTGTAGAAAACAAACTAATCACAATTATGAAATGCAAAATGCAGTGAAATAATTTATGTAAAATTTAACTTATACATTTTTGATAAAATAGGTCACATGCAACTTACTAGTTAATTTAAACTTATTATTTTCATTAAATGACTTATTTTTGAAATTATTATTGTGGATAAACTTTTACTTTAATGATTAATAATTCATGATCCCTGTAATTTTTTGTAATATTACCAGTAATAAAGCTTCACGCTCTTTCCTCCTTCTTTCAATAATCTCCTGTTCATCTTCTTCATCTTTTATATCAATATCCAGTTCCATATCTTCATCAGTACTCACTTCTCTATGTAAACCTTCACTCAAAGAATCCTTGAACTTGTCAGTCTTCTCCTTCTTATCCCTCCAGTTATTTTTATCCTTATCAGAACGTCTTTTGTCTCGAGGAGTACGTCTTTCGTCTCTCGATCTGTCTCTTCTTCTATCTCTATCAGGGGATCGATCTCGAGCTCTTGATCGTGAAATATCGCGGTCTCTCGATTTCCTCCCACTTCGATCTCGAGATCTCCGATAAAGAATGTCATTCCTCTCCCGTGATCTCCTACTGTCCCTATCATATGATCTTCTCAAATCAATTTCATGGGACATTCTATCCCTGTTCCTATGATGATCATAATCCCTAGAAGTTTTTGTGTCATTTGATTTTCGGATATCTCGATCTCTGGACCTTCTATTACTTTCTGTATAATGTCTTTGACGATTACTAGACTTCATACTTGAATGACGCTCTAATGATTTTCGTTCTCGTTCTATATCTCTAGCTTTTTGGTGACTATCTTTGATCAACCTTTCTCTATAACTTCGGTCTTTACTGGACGTTCTTATTCTTTTGTAAATTTCCTCGTGATTATGATCATTATGTCTTTTTCTAATCACTACTCTTCTTTCTCTGCTTTTAGAACGTTGGATATGGCTCTGTTCTCTAGACGATTCATCACTAGAGTCATCAACAAGAATAACATCATCAATTTTATTGGCAGTGGGTGATAAAGTTATTGTATGACCAGCTTTCGCAATTTCGGCTTGTAACAGTTCTTTTTGTCTCATCAGTTCTTCAAGATCCATGTCTGCTTCAATTACAGAAATATCAATAGCATCACTATCACACTCTGCTTCTGGTTCCACTGTTTCTGTTTCTGAGGATATGACTTCTAGGGAATGTGTTGTGGATAAGCCTGCAGCTACATAACTGGCCACTTCATCAGCATCCATCTTTAACTTACTTTCAATTTCATCTGTGCCTGAATAAGATTTACCATTAGAGATATAATTACTATTAAAACTAGATATTTGATTAGCTTTGGGGGAAAGTTCTGGTGTATACCGATCATTGTCAGCTTTGTTATCAGCTACTTCTTCATTATGTTTATGTTTGTGCTTTTTATGCTTTTTGTGCTTTTTCGACTTTTCAGAGGAATGTTTTTTATGTTTATGTTTGTGTTCCTTTTTATGCTTCTTTTTAATAGGAACATCTTCTTGTTCAACTTTTTGTACTACTTCTACGGAATCACTGCCTCCTGACGACCTAAAAATATAAAAATGAGGTTAATTGGAATATGATGACGTGCTACAACATTTCAGTCATTTACTCTATTTCCATTGCTTTAAAATTTTAACAATTAAGTATGATTTCAACTGCACAGCAAAACCCCAAATTTTTAAAATTATCAAGCACAGCACGATACTTTTTCTAACAAGTATGACAAACAACAGCAGCCATGATTAAAATTAATGATAAATAGAACCATAGATAATTAGAACGGCCCGTAGATATAAAAAGTTTATGGAACTATTTGTAGAAGTAAATTATTAATATTTTCTATCAAAAATAGTCAGGGCTGTGAGGCATTAAAAATATTAAGAACATAGAGCCTAATTACTAATTCGAATGAGTTATTTTATGAAATTAAAAATTACCACGTTTTACAGAAGTCTATTGTATCATTGACTATCAGAGTAGTCAGGGCCTGCGAGCCATTAAAAATATTAAGGTCGTGGTGCCCCTATCGCAGTTTTGACGAAGTCTGCTTTTCATTATTCTACCATATGTGACGTTTGCAGCCGTCAGATGTGGGTAAAACTAATGAACGCAAATGAAAAATAGATACTTCCATTATTGAATTCCATGGAAATGTAGATAACTTTGTTTTTACCATTTAATATAATTATAGTTGAAAATTTAAATGTGTAGATATTAAAAGAGAAGGGAGAGGCTACGATCAAAATTAAACTTTAACATCTTCTGTCTGTACTGTGTATAGAAATTTGTAAAAATACTTTTGAGTTAGATGTATTTTACTTATGTATAAATTGTTGCAAATTTTAAATCAAACAGTTAAATATTTTAATTGTAATTAACTAGAATAATAAATACAGGACTTCCATTTAAAGTTATTTTTAACTGGAACATTTTTAACAGGACCAAGGTAATTCTGTCTTAGATTAGTAAGCAAAAGGATTATGATTTTAACCAAAGCTAAATAGGAAATCGATGAATAAACGTTTGTATTTTTAAATATTTATATATGCGCTAATAGATCATGTAATATTTCATACACATTTTTTTCTTTATAAAACTCTCATTAGATTTTGATAAATTAGTCCCTACAATAAAGGAGAAACTTTCAAGTTTTGGTAAATTAATACAAATGCAACAATAAAAAGATTTCAAAAGGGGTGGAAAACGCTCACCGGTTACTTTTACGACAACCTTCTTGTCTGCCGTTCCCTCAACAGCCCTTATTAAATTTTGATAATCTCAGCCCCTACAATAAAGGAGAAATTTAATGTTCTAGATTAACTGCATGAACTGTAGGAAAGATGCTGAACAGCAATGCTTCATCATTTTTAATTACTAATTTTAGATACAGCACTTCATGTCATTATAAAAACATATTTCCTAATTAGTCGAACCTCTTGGGGCCCTATATTTTTTTTAATAACAAAATTAAAGCAAACCAAGTCAATATAATCAAAAATAACCTTAAGCATGTTACCGTCCGTACTTAAATAATTAAAAGGGCAATCAAAAAATTAAAATAATATTTCGAATTAGGAGAATATTTGCTTGTTTGGTATTAATTACTAATAGGAATGAGCTATTTTATAAAATTAAAGATTACCACTTTTACAGAAATCTATTCTAACATTAATATTCCGTCAGAATTATCCGGGCCTGTGAGCCATTAAATATATTAAGGACGTGGAGCCTTTATCACACTTTTGATGAAGTCTCTTTTATAATCCCACCATTTGTGACGTTTGCAGCCGTCAGATGTGGGTAAAACTAATGAACGCAAATGGAATATAGATTCACCCATTATTGAACTCCATAGAAATATAGATAACTTTGTTTTTACCATTTTACATCTTTATATTTGAAAATTTAAATGTGTAGATATTAAAAAAGAAGGGAGAGGCTACGATTAAAATTAAACATTAATTTCTTCTGCCTGCGTTATTTGTAGAATTTTACAAGAATATTTTTACGGCATATGTATTAATAAGTTGTTTTAAATATTAGATGAAAAAGTTAAATACCCTAATTATAATTAACTGGAATAATAGGCATAGACCTTAAATTTAATGTTATTTTTAACTGGAAGTGTGAGCAAGGCGATTCTGTCTTAATTTATATCAGAAAAAGGATCACGATTTTAACCAATGCTAAATGGGAAACCGATGAAGAAATGTTTGCGTTTTTGAAAATATTAATTGAAAACAACATTAAACTAGTAATAACGGCGCTCAATTTCAAAATTAACTTAAAAATTGTACGGTTTGATACGCATTGCAACTTACAACATGTGTGTTTTGATTTGAATTCCAAGTAAAAACAAACGTATATTAACAATTACAAGACGATTATTTGTTTAGAAATGTAGGTAATTTATTCCGTTGTACACTTGTATCTATTATTCGTCGGGATGGAATTACAAAACCAGAAAATAAAAATAATTATGAGTGGGAGATAAAGGTGGGAGAGAAAAACGAGCGGAGCGAGTGAGTTTATTTCGATTCAAGTGCGCGCGAAGTGTGGTAGATTGAGACGAAATACGAAAATTCCTGGTGAGTCCATTATCCACACAAATAACACAAAAAAGACCTGTTACACCGCGAAAATAAACCCTAACGCTCCTTTTGTTTTATTTTGACCTAGTTTACTTTAGTTTACCTAGGACAACGACAAGAAAATTCCTAATACAAGAAATCGCGACCTATAACGAGTGGTTTTGAAGTAAAAAAAGTTTTTAGTTAGGGAGATGCGAGCAACTTATTAGTTAACTAAGTACTTAAAAAAGCGCGACAGGATTGTCAGACGGTCAAAATGTATGAGTACTTATTTTTTTTTTTCAATGTAAATGTTTATAAGTGGCATTTCCGAAGTGGATTTGAGCCGCATGTAATGCTACACCATCGGCACACATCTTCCCGGGCATGATCTACAACCCGTTGACTAATAATAGTTAGTGGTCCAAGCAAATGTTGTTCTAACTATAACTTTAGATTTGGGAGTCCGCAATTAAATTTTGTCAGGTATTTTTGTTTAAGTGTGCTAACACATTGTCCTGGAATTGTTAACGCAGATATTTGAAATAGAAAAAGGCGGATGTAGCGTATCTGAACTTTAAAAACAAAACGAAATAAATAAAATGTTGAAGAAGATCAATTGGCTTTAATAAGTGATTCGAATCACCGTTTTTCGGATTAGCGAATCATTACTGTATACTCAAGAATAATTACTTTAGATACCACAGACATTTATTTTTATTTTAAAATATAATTTTAAACAGTTTTTTTTTTTTTTTAAAAAAAAGAAAATAAAACTTATCGAAAATTGAATAAACAGTTTAGGTGTCCGAAGTAATACAGCAGGCAGGTATTAAAAAAAAAATAAAGGAATTATGTAGGTATGTATGTAGTTTTGTTGGATACCAAATTTGATATATTTATGCTATTAAATTAGAAAATGTAAACTAAACCCAAGAGAGTAAGTAGTTCGGCGTTGACGAGGTTGAACTAGTAAAAAATCATCATCAGAAAGTAATTGTAATAATCAGTAATATTTATTCAAAGTCAAAGGGGTTGTTCAACGAAAGGGCTCTACAGACTTAAAGCTTATTTAAAAATCTAAATGGGATTTTCAGACTCGTATTAGAATAATTTGGTATTTTTCCTAGCCAAAGATTTTTTACACGAACGTCAACGTTAACATTTATTGAAACACTTCTCCTTACTTTTCATATACATAACCACCCTGGTATCTATATGTCTGTTTACCTAATATACAAACTTAAAATACCTAATATATCTTACATACATATAATTAAAAATGAAAATGTTTTGTGAGCAATATCACATCAACGTTTCTATTTTAATTTCTTTTTCTCAGAATTTCGGTTAAGTAAATTTGTTTACACTTGACCTAATTTTTATTTTCGTTTGATATTTAATAAAATTTCCATTCACAACTCAAGCTTGATTTAACTACACGTCATCAGCAATGATGTAAAAACCCACTCCAAATTTTTGATTTATTTCTTACGACCTACGTATTATTTTTGTAAAAAAAAAGCTATCATGAAGTTGGTTATACTTTTGGCTTAAAATTTTAAAAGTAGATATAGACAGGACATACTTAATATTCGACCAATATTCTTTGTATAAAGTCGATCGTTCACCTGTTATTATGTTTGGCATCGAAACTTGTTATTTTTTTCGCCAAATAAATCTGTCATGATTATGCTATTTACAGGCGTAGGGTTGGTTAGATACGATTTTGTATATTAATACCATCGATATTTTATCTTTTTTAATCTATATAACACAAAATTTACGTCAATTTTGAAGAGAAATATTTGTTTTCGTATTTCAGATCTACAAGTTAATGCTTTCACTACCAATTAACTTCTTCTTAGATTTTATAACTGTTTAAGAGTACTGGTCCTGTTCTTAATGATAGTTGCCAGTTACACAAGATTAAAATTAAATTAAATATATTAACAATCTGTGCATGTAAATGTAGCCACAGAAGTGTTAAATATTGTTGTTACAATACATTTCAATTAAAGATCCAAAATATGAAAAGAATTGATCTTTATTTTGAATATTATATGTTAAATTGTTCTGAAAAACGATTTCAAAACACAAAATGCAAAGTATTATATTTTAGTAAATAGTTTTTAAAATAATACTATTTTTTATTGTTGTTTCCGATTAAGACAATCCTTATACTGTCTGTTTACAGTAATCGTTTATGTAGGGAATAGTAGGGCAATTTGTAATTATAATACTTGTAACTAACTTAACCATTTTTAGGGTTCCGTACCTCAAAGGGAAAATAGGAACCCTTTATTATGTAATGGATTAAGTTAACTATCTGTGCTTTCAAATATTGCTATCATCATAAGGAAGAGCCCTAAGACTGATTGGACACGCACATCTGTTCCTTATTCCTATTCTGACCTAATCTTCGCATTTCTCTAAAACTAGAACATCCCACATACTTAACTATTTGCCAACAGTAATCTAATCTAGGTCTACTTCTACTCCTCTTAACCCCTGTTTCTGCCTCTAATATGTCTCTGACTAGACCTTCATGCCTGAGAACGTGTCCTACCAAGCTATCTCGCCTATTTCTTATTGATTTCCATAGAGTCTTCTGTTCTTCTATTCTTTCTCATATCCCTTCATTGCTAACGTTCTCTATCCACGGTATCCTCATCATTCGCTAATAAAACCACATTTCGAACGCTTCTAACCTTTTCTTTTCATCCGCGCCCATCGTCCATGTTTCGCACCCGTACAGCGCCTCGCTGCCAACATACACCTCTAAAAATCTTTTTAGAATTTCTAAATTAACCATACGCGAGCATAGAAGTGACTTCTTTTTATTGAAGGTGACTCGACCCTGCGCTATTCTCTGCTGTATATATCCCTACTACTACTTCCGTCCTGCTGCTTTTTCTAATCTTTCGTTTCCTATATCTATATTCGCTTTTTATCTACTTTTTTCCCTTGCATACCATTTTATTTAAAGCTATCTCTAACTCCTCCTTGCTAGATGCTAATATTGCAAATATTACCATGAAAGCTACAACATTTTTCGGAATTATGTAAACTAGTATGTATTAATTTTCAGAAAATGTCGAAAAGAACGATTCTTAGCAGACCCCGAACGCGTCTTTACGATGTCAATTACAACATGGGCGAGAGTCTGTACAAGCCGGCATTGGACAGGCTGGACCGAAAATATTCCGGAAGACCGCTGTCGCCTCCTCCAAGGCAGACATCCATTCCTCAAGATATTCTCGATCGCCACGAAAGAGCTTTCGCCGACGACGACATAAACGATTTTCGGCGTCGTGCAGAAAAAGCTATTTCCGGCAGACAACTTTTCGATTCACGCGGAGCCCGAATCGACACCGCCTTCGACGACATCGATGACGAGGTATTCTCACTCATTGACTTGCAAACTTTCTCAACTTTTACTAACCGCTTAAATAAACCCTCTTACGATAGGTTTGAGATTTTTCGTTTTTTTTTCGTGGCCGATAGTTAATTAGTGACCAATTTATTAACCAAGACCTTACGATTTGCCGACATGTTTTAAATATTAATTTTAGATTAGACTTTTGGAAATGGTTTGTAAAGTATTTTAAATGTTAGACAAGTGCAAATGCACTAGATGACTATAGACTGCCATAACTCAATATTATTATAGCATACTCATACTGAACATCTTCGGTTCGATTTATAGAGACTACCTATGACGTGCTGATGAGATGCAATGGTAATTTTGATAAATTAATTACCGTTGTAGGTACTAAACAGCCGTTTTGAAAACTAAATCTATCTGAAAATATTTTAACAATTTATTGATAGAGAGACATGTCTTTTCAAAACGGATTAACTTATTTTGAGAGGCTGGGTACTGACGATGACGATAAAAAAAAAAAAAAAAATAATTATTCATATACTAAAGGAGTAGGTTTTCTATTCAAGTTTTTGTTGAATTAGAATCGACTATATCTTCACATTTATTATTTTATCAGTATTTACCATTTAATGTCTCAAAAGTGTTTCGTGTGTGTGACAAATGATAAAAGAATCCATTACACTTTCGACTGTTTTAAGATCGCTTACTAACGTAAGTAAAATAAATGTCAATAATTATTTTGTAAATGTACATACCTACATACAAAGCATTGTAGTTGCCAAAAAGGTATCTATCGTACATACATATGAAATCACCTAAAGGGATCATGTAGTGAATTCTGCTAGGCACGCTAGCCAAAAAAAATATACTGACTCTTGTTCGAATTGCCCACTCATTATTACTCTTTACCCTATGTTCGAATCAGACATAACAGACAATTTGGAAATTGGAAACAATAAATTGTTTTGGCCCATTCATCTCTATTTATAGTGGCAATGAAATGTGAAGTTTATTTTGGTCGGCCACGCAATTTCGATTTCGCGAAAATGCATTAAAGGAAAGAACTTTGCAAACGTTTTCATGCCGTCTAGCGGATACAGGTACGAATGACATTTCGTTCGAAACGAATCAATAAAATAACAATAGCATGTACAGTAGGATGACGTAAAATTTCTTTTTTCTTTTTTCTCTTTCAAACAGGTCTAATTTGGATGCAGTTTTTAGGAAAATAGGGATGTATATTATATATAGTATATTATATATAGTAAGTTGTTTTTCCGGTATTTTAAAAGTTTCTTTGCCTATTGTGTATAGCATCTTCAGGTATTGTATTTATGAAGTTGACGACAAAACGTTGTTATTTTTGGACAAACTCCGATGCATATTCTACAGGATAATAACAGCCGGGGAAGCCTGTGCATGTATTAGCACATATGTAGTCAAATACATAACATACTGAAACAGATTGAAAATCTTTTGGAGACATTCGTATTTTAAGTCCCATCATAACACAAATCGATAATCTATAAAATTTATTCATGATTATGGGCTTATCGTTTTCAGTAAATCATGAAATTGGGACAATTTATTTGGAAATATTCTGTCAGAAAATTAATAAACAAATCGTTTCTGGAAAACTGAATTAAATTAAAATCACATCTGAAAAATATTTTGGAACTATAAAGTAGATATTCTATTTATGAAAACATACAAATGTGGTCATTAGTAAAAATAAAAATTGAGAAAACAAAGCAATAATATTTATTTAAAGATGACCGATTAAGTACGTATGGGCCGAATACTTTTCTTTCTAATATTCTGTTTATAGAAAGTAAAAAATGATTGCATTATACAATTTTTGCTATTTTTTGATTTATAATATGTTCGTAATTTATCTACTATCAGTAAAGTTAATCTTAATTAAAAATAATAAAAAATAATAAATAAAATAACCATGCATTAAGGAATTAGGTTAGGTTATAGTAGGATAGGGGTTCTCTGATTGGTATGTGTGAAGTGCCATGATGCACCAAAGAACAAGGTTAGACTATGATGGGGTAGGATTTCCTAAAAGACGTACCAATCTTTTATTTCAGTTTAATAACATTGGCTTTGTGCTTTTCTTTATCGAATCTAAATTAATCGTATTTGGTAGATTGCTTATAAATAATTAGATGCATGGGCGCCGTTAGGATTATTTTCAGGGAGTTGCATATGCATCAACACATTATTATATTACACAATTATAAAATTTTATGATACTACATACATAATAATTAATATAAAACGAAACTATCTATAAAGCCGCAAGAAACTATATATACAATTTTATATATCTATGTATTGCATCTCATGTAATTTGATATATTTGCACAAAATTTCATCTGAAGTATTATATGAAATTGTATGAAATTTTATAAAAACATATTCAACTTTTTAGCTACGAATGGCGTATATAAAATTTAATAAAATCATATGTGGAACTTCTTAAAATTATCTGAAATTTATATCTATGAATCATATAAAAAGAATTATTTATATATAATTCAAACAATATTTAACTGACACAGATTTCTCTCCTCAACACGCTCCAAATGCTATTTATTAAGTTTGGTTATTTTACGATAAAACGCAAATACATCACGATTTTCTGTTTCAATTTTTGTTGTAATACCTGTTTAGATCTAAATATATGCTCAACTTGTTCAATTCGTACTTTCGCCCGTTCGATCGGTTTTAAAAAATCTTAATTTTCTATTATATGTATTTTATTTCACTACACGGAGCTGCATGTGTACCCCCTTGCACTTTGCTGTTGGCGCTCATGGTTAAATGATATTTATAATTTGCCAATTAATGATATTCTTCTGTAACACTCTTTCTACTGACATATTAAAACAATTTATGTATGATATGCATGATGTTTTTCTAAAAAAAATTCTTGTTTCAGTGGTAACGTAAAGCTACTGTTCGCCCCAAGTTTACAGCCGCTTTGTTATTGTTTTTCTGTTCGAATTTCTGATGATTTAGAAATTTAGAGCATCAGGGGCATCTATTGAAATAAAGGGAATGTTTCATGATGTGTTGTTTGAATTGTCACTACCACCTCAAGTATGTTTACATGGGCTTTTTTTATTTTTATCGATTTTTGCTTTTTACACCACAATCTAATTGCTAAGGAATAAGTAGTTTTTGTAAAATATTACCATTTTTCCACATTGGGTAAAATGTTTCTTTTAAAACCATTAAATTCACATGATCTCATTATTAACTTTAATGTTAGAAAAACCATAACGTCAAAAACCCTACTAGTTTATAGACATTTTTGAAAATAAATACCTACCACTAATCGTAAAAAAAAAATAAAAGTGCTGGATATTGGGATGATTTTGGTCTCTCACTTTCAATCAAACTAAAATTCACCAAAATACAACAAAATAATCCGAAAAAATCTTATACGAAAAAACTAACAATTCACATTTCCAATGTTCTTAGATTCAGTTTATCGATACTTTAGTCAGTGGTAAAAATTATACGCGTGAATTACGAAAAAACCGCTCTGTCCTTTTCGATTTACAGAAATACGAGGGTGGATTGATAAGTTTCCGGCCTGACCAAGAAAAACAAGGTTTTTAAAAATTTTTTTTTTTTATTTCTCAACATAATCTCCTCCAAGGCTGATACATTTCTCATAGCGGTGTTCCAGTCTATTAATGCCATCTCTATAGACTGATTCGTCAAGCTCCTCAAAATAACCATTTACAGCTTCGATTACTTCTTCATTGTCCGCAAATCTCTTACCGCCAAGCCATTTTTTGAGATTAGGGAACAGAAAATAGTCACTCGGGGCTAGGTCTGGAGAGTAAGGAGGGTGCGGCATCAATTCAAACTTTAGATCGTTGATTTTAGCCGTCGCAACGATTGACGTGTGCGCTGGTGCGTTATCGTGATGAAACAAGATTTTTTTCTTCGCCAGATGAGGTCGTTTAATTTTCACCTCGTGGCTCAAACGTTGCAATAAGTCTGCGTAGTATTGACCAGTGATAGTATTACCCTTTGCAAGGTAATCAATGTATATAATACCTCTTGCATCCCAAAAAACAGTAGCCATAACCTTGTTCGCCGAAAAAATTGTTTTTGCCTTCTTTGGAGTTGGTTCCCCTGGTCCAATCCACTGTTTAGACTGTTCTTTGGTTTCAGGAGTGTAGTGGTGGACCCACGTTTCGTCAACGGTTACGAATCGACGCAAAAATTCGCTTGGATTACGCTTATACAATGACAAATTTGCGGTAGAAATGTTTTTTCGAATCAATTTTTGGTCGACTGTTAGCAAACGCGGCACCCATCTTGCACAGAGCTTTTCCATATGCAAATGTTGGTGCAAAATATGTTGCACACGTTCATATGACATCTTACAGGTCTCAGCTATCTCACGCACTTTCAATCTGCGGTCTCCCAGCACTATTTGATGAATTTTTTCGATCATATCTGGAGTTGTGACCTCAACGGGGCGTCCTGAGCGAGGCCCATCAGAGGTGCTCACACGACCCTTTTTAAACTCGGAAACCCACTGCTTAACGGTTGAATATGACGGGGAGGATGTCCCCAGTGTTGAGTCCATCTCTTTTTTAATTTCCTTCGGCGTTAACCCCTTCAAATAAAAGTATTTGATGACAGCACGATTTTCCTGCTTTTCCATTTTTACGAAAACCACAGAGGCGTCTTGTTCAGCGTGCTGTCAAACCTACACTAGCAAGGAGATCGGGCTGAAACTATAGCTACAAGCTATCCAAGGATGGTACTATAGAATGTCACCTCAAGGTAGGCCTAGTGGCGCCATCTCTTGGTTAGGCCGGAAACTTATCAATCCACCCTCGTATAAGAGATTTCTATCAAAATTTATTTTTGCAACTGCTGGTCTAGTTTATACATTTATTACATGTACAAAATTCAACATCGTGCTACCAACTTCCTAAACTTACAAAATTTTATTGTGGAAAAGTATCCTTTAA